AGATCTAAGAAATATTGGGTAATGGTACACGAAATCTTGCAAAAGATACTAGGGACTGCAGTACCATTTACACCAGAGGCTTTGTTGTTGAATATTCTACCTGATAATTCTAACAAAGATTATCGCTATTTGATTGTTTTTTTAACTACGGCTGCAAGAATTCTCTATGCAAAATTTTGGAAATTACCGGAGATACCAACAAAATGAGAACTTGTAAACAAAATCTTGGAGGCTGCGGAATTGGATAAATTGACTTTATTGATAAAAGGTGCAACAGAATAAACATATGTAGGCAAGCTTGCAAGAGACAGACTAAGAGTTTACTAAATGAAATATATACCTGTTAGGATGATAGAGACAGAAAAGTTGCTTACACAGTTCATGAGAAATTGTTATTAAGGTGGAATAGGCATCAGTATAAATATTGGTAAAATTGAAAATAACCTCCATGTATCTGTTTGTACATTAGTATGTATGTATATGTTATGATTGTGTATGTTATGTGGAAAATGTAATAAAACCCTGCCCCTTTGGGGGCAGTTAAAAGAAAAAAAGAATAACGAAAAGAGGGAAGAACAAACATTGAGTCCAGTGCCAACTTTAAGACCAACGAAGTTCTATTCAAGGCATAAGCATTTGTGTGCATGCATACTTCTCCAGGTAAATTGAAAAAGGAAGAAAGTTTAGGTTAAGGTAGCTGGGGAAATGGCAGAGAAAGGAAATTACCTCTGCATCTTTTTTCTCTGTGGGAAATGTGGGGCGCATGCCCACACCACAGCTACTGTTTTCAGGAAGTGGTTCTGAAGAACTGGCTCACACTGAAGTCACAACTTGGGGCTTAGAAGGGTAGCAGAAGGTATCAAAGTATTAGACCATGGGTGCGGTCAGACGGCGTGCTGAGGGCAGGTGAAACTGCTCCGGTTCTAACCGGATTATATTTGATCTGGATAATTGCAATCACACTTCCCTCCCTTATCCCGCCTCACCGCGCAGTCACGTAGCTCCCCAGCATCTACACTACCGACGCGCGGGAGCATGTGTCAGCAGGGTCTTTAAAAATTTTCCTGTTTGCGCATGCGCATAGGCGCCCCTCCGTAGAAGGGGGGGGAAACTATCATGGCGCATGTGCAGAACCACCAGGGCGAATCAATCCAACCCCTCCAACAAAAGACTTCCCTTTAAACGTTTGACCCAAAAATGGCCTTCGTAAGATCCTGAACTCATCTAAACGCTAAAAGAAGTGACAGTTTAAATGTCGGTTTTCTAAACGTAGTGGCAGAGCTCCGCCTATGCGCACACTGCCAACGCATGAAAAGCAGAAGCCTCGGGCAGCTTTTGAGTGGGGAGGGGGTTTATACCGGAAGTGGTTGAACACCGCAGGCACGA